CCCCCCCGGTGAGAAAGGCTTCCTGCATCTTTTAAATTCCAAGATCCCTATCTGGATCTCTCCTCTTTCTAGGAAACTTCCTCAGAGACCTGATCTCTGGCCATTTGAATTTTATAGATCTAAACTTATTTAATCAATCTTATTTCTGATAAAAATAGTAATACTTTTTACATTTCATCAACTAACGCTATTTTTTTGTTGTTGTTTTTCTATTTATGTGCCATCAAATAGTTCTAGCACATATGGACCCCATGTCCAACAGAATGAGACACTGCCCAGTCCCAAACTATCCTCACAATTGTTCCTATATTTGAGCCTATTGATACAGCCACTGTACCCATCCCATTGAAGGTCTTCTTTTTCACTCACCCTCTACTTTACCGATGATGATATCTTTCCACAAGGATCGGACCCTTCTGATAACTTGTTCAAAGTATGGGAGACAAAGTCTTGCTAATATTGTATTGTTGTTGTTGGGTGCCATCATGTCAGCTCTGACTCATAGTGACCCTACGTACAACAGAATGAAAAGCTAATTTTAATGGTATGTTTATTTTAGTCCTGGAATTTTATGATTTTTTTTTTTTACTAGAATGAGGTGACAAAAATAATCATCCTAAACAGAACAGCTGATTTCAGAATTAAAGCCAGACTCTCCTCTGTAAATAATCCTGTAAAGACATTCAGTGCTTCCATATAGGAAATGCTTCATATTCTTCCATCTTAGTCACACCAAAGCCCTTTTCAGCACTCACAACTCAACAAGTTGCTGGACAGATAAGGAGGGAAAGAGATTCTTTCCTGGGCTTTATCAGTGGACAACAGGAAGTCAGGTCTGAGCTGAAAGTAAGAAAACAAATTATAGTCCTTGGTGGTAATGAGAGTAGCAGATTGGACCTGAAGAAAGCCTGCTGTGGAATCAATGAGGACCTAAGGAGATAAACTGTGGCCATATGCTTGGGCTATTGTTGGAGTGGAAATTGTTAGATCCTTCCTATTTGTTCTTAAGCTCACAAGTACATTCAAGAGTAAAAAATAAATATTTACAGGAGTGTATAGTTGAAGAGTTAATAAAGTTCATATGTTTCCTTAGTGAAATGATTTGTTAACATTTTTTTAAAGAAACTTAAGAGATTTAAAGAGAAATTGCTACCTTGTGAGAAACTCACTCACCCTGATGCTTCAGTCACTCATTAACTTTTAGACAATTTTTTAACATTCAAAAATGTATTCCTTTATAAATATTTAAAAGGCATTTTGCCTATTTTTCCTCAGTACTTAAAGTCAGTCAGTTAAATTCACTCACACTACTACATCCCCTGCTGTCCTATAAAACAAGAGACAGAAACCACTGGGCATTTGTGATAACTCAGAATTCTTTGTCATCACAAGCTCCCTGTGCTACTGATTTAATACCCCCGTCTCTCCTTCATTCATAAATCCCATTTCCATTTCTATGTTTCACTTCCTTCAATGGACTTTTTCAGACAAGCCATCATCTGAACTCTCCCTAAAGTTTTACCTTGGATCTTAGATACTTCTGAAATAGGTCATTCCACCAGATTTATATTTCTCTCCAAAAACTTTTAGGTTGTTGTTGTTGTTGTTGTTGTGTGCACTGTTGAGTCACTTCTGATTCACAGAAATCCTGCATGACAGAGTAGAACTGCCCAGCTTAGGATTTCTTAGGTTGTAATCTTTATAGAAGCAGATCACTAGGTCTTTTTTTTTCATGGAGTGACTAGCCTAGGTACATGGATAAGAGAACAAGCTCACCCCTGAGAATTCGGGTCCTTCACACAAACACTCTAGGAACAGAGGTGAGGATTTGGAAGGATTAAATGATTTTGACAACATAAAAACAACCCTTCCCCAGTGAAGGAGTTATAAAGTCACCTGGATGTGGTGAATGGCTTTCAGAGAGGGACTCCTGGAGAGTTACATTTGAGGACACTCTGTCACTCTAGAGGAAAGGGTGTTACATGGTGTGAAAACTGCTTTGTGAGTGAGGTAAGTTCTGGGAAATGGCAAAAAAAGAAAGTTATCTTAGAATTAGAAACTCCACAGTTATAAGCATCTGGAAAGGGCTAAAACTCCTGTAATGGGTGTTGGCACAATCAGAGGACAACACTAGACATCCAGTAAGGAGACGGTGGAAAGAAAAGGCAATGGATAGTATAGTCCTAATCTTGTGGTCCGAGGAATGCAAAACTGCATGGACCCAGAGGAATGTATTCTAGAACGAATAAAAAAAGTCTGAGAAGCTTCTTCACTAATAATCATTAGCTTCAGGGATGAATAAACACAGAAGGAAACCTAGTTCTTGATTCCAAAGAGCTTATTTTCCACAGATCATCTGGGAAATCCTTAACAAAATACAAAAATCCATAGGGCTAAAAGATACTGACTTTCTATATAAAGTAAGGAGGGTAAAAAGGGAGCTCAAATTTAGAGCTAAAAGTGTGTGTCTAGTCAAATGAAGGGCCTCTGTGTAAATAAGTATTGGTATGTGTTTGCATACATAATACACTTCTGACTTGAGGATAAAGATGTTTCCCATCCTGTTCATAAATACTGTGTTAGACTGGGTTCTCTAGAGAAAAAAAAAAACAGTAAAGCTTATATATAGAGAGAGAAAGAGAAATTTATCTTAGGAAAATGGCTCACACACTTACAGAAGCTGAGAATTCCAAAGTTCTTGGATCCAGAGTCAAGCTGGAGGCTTTTCCTGACTCTCACAGCTGCAGGAGCTGCAGAGCTCAAGGATGGCAGGCAGCACACTGGCTATTGACTCCAATGAATGACGCATCCAAGATCTACAGGCTGAATGGTGGATTGTTTGCTCATAGACAGTTGTAGGCAGCACAAAAAAATCCCGATCCACAAAAGAATGTCTCTTATCCCAGGATGTCCATAAATATACTGGTAGCAGCCCACACCCCTAGGTAAACTCCCTTTCAACGGATTGGCTGCTCAAAACATATTCATCTGATCCCATCATGAGAATAATCACATAACAACTGCTTAAAACACACAGAATTGTGGTCCAGCCAAGTTGATACACAGCTCCAAGTATCACAAATACCCATTTGGATTTTACATGTGAAGTTTACTGGGAAAATTAAACTTCTTCATGTTTTGTGTGTGTGTGGTGTGTGTGTGTGCATGTTCCATCCCCTCCCTTCCCACCTGATAACAAACAAAGTCTCCTTCCCTAAATAAACCTTTCCTTGACTATTTACAATAATGAACTAACACAATATTTGGCCTTCTGTGATTGACTTTTTTCAGTCAGCATAATGTCCTGCAAGCCCATCCACATTATGTGGTGTTTCACAGATTCTGCATTATTCTTTACTGTTGCGCAGTATCCCATTGTGTGTATGTACCATAGTTTGGTTATCCATTCTTCTGTTGATGGGCCCCTGGTTGTTTCCATCTTTTTGCTATTGTAAATAGTCCTGCAATGAACATCAGTTTGCATAGATCTGTTCTTGTCCTGGCTCTCACTTCTCTAAGATATATATGTAGTAATGGGATTGCTGAAAGTTAAACTTCTACAACAAAAATTAAGTGCTTAAGTTGATGACATCTTCTCAGGCCATATGAGCAATATGTAAATGAAACAAAAAAATGGAAGTAAAAGTTTAGAGGAATGTTGAGAAAATGAAAGTATTCTCTTCCCTATTTAAAAGCCATGATAGAAAGATGTTTTCAGAGAACTTAGGGTGCAAGGTTCAACCCGACAACCTGCTCAGTCAGGCCAGCAGCATCCTCCATTCTCCCCATGGCCCTCCTGCTCTCTCTACTGACTGTGCTGGTGGTATTAAGCTATGACCCTATTCAATCTCTGGGCTGTGATCTGCCTCATAACTACATCTTGGTTAGTAGGAAGACTTCTGTGCTTCTGGGTCAAATGAGGAGACTCTCTCCTGCTTTCTGTCTGGACGACAGAAAGGACTTCCGATTCCCCCAGGAGATGGTGGATGGCAGCCAGCACCACAAGGCCCAGGCCATCTCTGTCCTCCAGGAGATGCTCCAGCAGATCTCCAACCTCTTCCACACAGAGGGTGCCTCTGCTGCTTGGAACATGACCCTCCTGAACCAACTCCACAATGGACTCCATCGACAGATAGAAGACCTGGAGAACTGCTTGGTGCAGGTAATGGGAGAGGAAAAATCTGTCCTGGCAATTGAGGGCCCTCTACTGGCTGTGAAGAGGTACTTCTATGGAATTCATCTCTATCTGAAAGAGAAGAAATACAGTGGCTGTGCTTGGGAAGTGGTCAGAGGGGAAATCAAGAGAATGTTCTCTTCATCAACAACCTTGGAATCAAGATTTAGAAGAAAGAATGGAGACCTAGGTTCATCTTGACCTGACTCTCAATCCAGTATGTCTTACCACATCTCATCATGTTTCTGATCATTTCAAAAGACTCTCGTTTCTGCTCGTTCACTGAATTTATTGAACTCGGGCATTAATTTGTCTGTAGTATTCAGCAAGTGTCTGTTCAAACATCAGTCCCTAAGAAAAAAACTGTCCTGCTTTCTTATTTATTTATTTATCTATGTATTTAGGTGTGTTGATTCATTCTCATATTTATAATATTTAATTTTTTCACTTAATAAATTGTTATTTTTTCACATTATATTGTATTAAGATTTTTTACATTTTTCCCTTGACACAGTTCTGGTAGCATAGTGCCTAAAGCACTTGACTGCTAACCAGAAGGCTGCCGGTTCAAACCCACCAGCCACTCCTCAGAAAGAAGATGGGGCAATCTGCTTCCGTAGTGATACTGCCTCGGAAACCCAAGGAGGGGTCGCTATGAGTTGGGTCTGACTGGATGGCACATAACAACAACAACAACAACAACACAGAGTTCTGGTGGTGTAGTGGATAAAGTACTTGGCTGCTAATCAAAAGTTTGGTGTTCAAACTCCCTAGCTGCTCTGTAGAAGAAAAATGAAGCAGGCTTCTTCTGTAAAAATTTACAGCCTTTGAAACCTATGGGGGTCCCTATGAGTCAGAATTGACTTAATGGCAGTGAATTTGATTTTTGGTCTGGTTCCCCCTTCCATTTTATTAAATTTCTGTTTTACTTATTAAATTCTTAATAAAGAATACTTCTTGAATTTGATTATTAAAAAAAAAAAGGAATGTTTTGTTTATTAACCAAATTGATGACTGGAGTAAAATTTATTTACACATTCATTCATTTCATTCACATCAAATGTATAAATTGAGTATCTAACTGGTAGATTATGCAATTGTTAAGAAATGCATGTTTTGATAGGCCTTGTTCAGACATAAATTATAGAGGTGTTGGCTGTGAATTTAATGTTAATGAGTCAACAATATATATTATGTGTCTGTAGAAAGAAATGCACATAAAACAAGGTTGTATATTGATCAGTTGAAGAAAATGTTGTAACCAGATGTTCATGGAAATTTAACTCTTAGGAAAAATGGTTCTGTATTTTCTAATTCACACCATTCATCAGCAAGTTTGTTGTACTGTGGTGGCTTGCATGTTGCTGTGAGGCTGGAGGCTATGCCACAAGTGTATCAAATAACAGCAGGATGACCCATGGTGGACAGGTTTCAATGAAGCTTCAAGTCAAAGACAGACTTGGAAGAAAGGGACCAAGTACTTCTCAAAGATCTAGCCAGTTAAAACATTATGAACAGCAGTAAAACACTGTCTAATCTATTACTGGGAAACTTTATGAATAGCCTGAAACATTTTCTGGTACAGTGCTAGAAGATGAGTCCCTCAGGTCAGAAGGCACTCAAAACACGACTGGAGAAGAGCTGCTTCCTTAAAGTAGATTTGGCCTTAATCACGTGTATGGAGTAAAACTTTTGGGACCTCCATTTGGTGATGTGGCACGAATCAAAATGGGAAGAAACAGCTGCAAACATCCATTAACAATATAAACATGGAATAAAGAAGAATCACCAGTAGTTGGAAAATATGGTCTTGGTGATAGAAATGATGCTGGAGATCACATGATAGAATTTCAAAAGACCAACAACTTAGTCATTACCTTTTTTTTAAACAACATAAATGGAGTCTATACATGTGGACTTCACCAGCTGTAATACATAGGAATCAGATCGACTACGTCTGTGGAAAGAGACAATGGAGAAGCTCAATATCTTTAGCCAAAACAAGCCCAGGAGCTGACTGGAAAAGACCATCAAGTGCTCACTTACAAGGTCAGGTTGAACTGAAGACAATTAAAAGAAGTCCATGAGAGCCAGAATTTGACCTTGATTATATCCCAACTGAATTTAGAGATCATCTATAGAATAAAATTGACACAATGAACACTAATGACCAAAAACCAGATGAATTGTGGGATGACATCAAGAACATCATACATGAAGAAAGCAAAAGGTCATTAAAAAGACAGGAAAGGAAGAAAATACCAAAACAGATGACAGAAGAGACTCTGAAACTTGCTCTTTAAAAAAAAAAAAAAATTATTGCGATTTGGGTGTAAGTTTACAGAGCAAATTCATTTTCCATACAATAGATCACATACATTTTGTCTCATGACATTCACTCCAATATCTCACAATGTAATAGCTCTCTTCCCACTTTGTCCCCATAGTTACCTATTCTGTGTGTCCTCCCCTCCCAGGCACTCCCGCCTTCTTAGCTGTCTCCCTGTGCATACACTGCCCTTCTGTTCTCCCATGAGTGATCTCTCAAAAAAGTGCATATACCTAATGTAAATGTTTAGCCCATATGCTTGTCTATTATTTGGCTGGAAGCCACGGGAGTAAGTTCAATTCCAGACCTGAAGGGCAGCTAGGGGCCATAGTCTCAGAGGTTTCAACAGGCTCTATCAGACCAGCAAACCTGGTCTTTTTTTTTTTTAATGATTTTTAGTTTCGTTCCACATTGTTCTCCCACGCTATCCAGAATCTCCTACACAGATCCCCCTCCAAGTGGTTGACAGTGTTAGCCAGGCACTATCTAGTTCCTCTGGTATCATGGTCAAATAGACTGAAGACAGCATGATCTACCTGTCCCCTGGATTAATTGTTTCCAAGCATCTTTGGTTTTCTTCATTCTTCTTTGTTCTGGGCAAGGAGAGACCCATCGTTGTATCTGGATGGCCACTTGTAAGGTTTTAGGATCCTTGTCGCTACTCACCAAAGTAGGATGTGGAACAATGTTTTTATGTAGTATGTTACGCCAATGAGCTTGATGTCTCCTGCGACCATGGTTTCTCATGTTTTCTTGAAGCAGTGTTTCACAGTTTTCTTGGTATAGGTCTTCTGTGCTGCTGGTAAGATTTACTCCCAAGCATTTTATTTTTTTTTGGTAGCTATTGTAAATGGTATTGATTTTCTTATTTCTTTTTCAACAATCTCTTTACTGTGTAGAGGAAATCCAACTGATTTTTGTATGCTGATCTTGTATTGCACCACTATGCTAAATCTCTCGATTAGTTCCAGTACTTTTTTTTTGGCTGAGTCTCTTGGGTTTTCTATGTATAGGATAATATCATCAACAAATAGGGATAATTTTACATCTTCATTGCCAATTTGGATGCTTTTGATTTCCCTTTCTTGCCTTATTACCCTGGCTAGGGCTTCCAATACAATGTTGAATAGAAGTGGTGATAGAGGGCAACCTTGTCTGGTTCCTGCTCACAAGGGGAATGGTTTCAGTCTCTCTCCATTGAGAATAATGTTGGCTGTTGCTTTTGCATGTATGCCCTTTATTATGTTGAGGAATTTCCCTTCTATTCCTATTTTGCTGAGAGTCTTTATCAGGAATGAGTGTTGGATTTATCACATGCCTTCTTTACATCGACGGATATAATCATTTGGGTCTTTTACTTTATTTTACTTATGTGATGGATGATGTTGATTGTTCTAATGTTGAACCATCCTGCATGCCTGGTATGAACCCCACTTGGTCATATGTATTATTTTTTTTTGTCAGAGTCTATTGGCTGGGTTTTTTTTTTTTAAGAAAAAAAGCTTTATTGCCTAAAATATGCTAAATATTTCACAGATATTACTCCTTTCACAAGACACAAGCACATTCATTTCCCCCCAAAGTAAGGCTTTCTCTCACAAATCTGTATTATGCCCACAGCAGAAGCTCTCTAAGCCAATTTTTTTTTTTTTAATTTATTGTGATTTGGGTGGGTGAAGATTTACAGAGCAAATTAACTTTCCATATAGCAGTTCACATATACTTTGTCTCATGTCATTG